GGGCTGTAGCCTGGTGATCAGTGTCAGTCTCCATAGGTAGCCTGGGAGCTGTAGCCTGGGGGTCAGTGTCAGTCACCTTAGGAGCCCTAGGCACTGTAGCCTGGTAATTAGTGCCTAGATGCATGATTTTGGTTGTTGTATGCATGTCCTTCGCCGTTGGGGCAGACACAAGATCCTCAGGGGCAGTTTCACGGTCTGGAGACAGGGTGTTGGCTTTGGCATCAGGTGACTGCTGGCCTGGCATTTCCCCGCCGTCGGAGAACATGAGCGAGACCCGCAAGTGTGTGTCTCTGCTGGCTATGGCCTCGTCCCAGACCTCCGTCAGACGTGCCCCCAAGTGTGTGTGTGTGGCAGGCACTGCGTCCCTGAGTGGCTTTACAGCGCCAGAGCCCAGGCCGTGTCTCTTCAGCCCCCCTGGCTGGCATTCTGCCCCCCTCCATGCAAGCCTACTGTGTCCCATGAGCTCCTGACACAGAAAGAGAGAGACGGGAGGGGGTAGATCACTCGCTGCATTTATTATTATTTGACCCCCCCCCCCCCCAGACATAATGAAACCCTGGAAATCTTCACATGAACATTTAGAAAGGTCTTCTTTGCATGCACAATGACAGAGTCATCGTTTCCCCTCACTACATTAACACGCATCCAGAGAGTGTACAGGGACAGCCATTAACATTCAGATTACTGGGTACCTTTGGCTGAACACACACCCCGCAAGCTGTGAGCCACATTCAGGCCCCCGAGAGGAATATTCTTATTACCACTAATGAAGGTGAACTATTCCCCCCGGTCCTGAACAAAGCAGCAGAACAACAGCAGGTTATTTATAATTACATTCAGAATATTAAAAAGTTCCCCTAAACGAGCAAGCACATTAAGGAAGACTGAACAGTTAAAAAGGCACCAGCAACTCAAGTTCTTAGTGACATTATTCTTTTCCCAAACAGATATTAAAATTAAGATAACACTAGTTATAAAACAAGATGCACAGTATTTCAACTGGCTTTACAAAAGCATGCTAAAAAACAATCAGGATTATATTTAGATTTTAATTATTGGATACAGAGTATTAATTAAAATTAAGGCTCATGTAGCTTGAGTTGCCCAAAAAATGTTAAAAATTTTCCTCTGAATTTCAAAGAAATTAAACAGAAATCATTAAAAAATAATAAATAAATAAAAGCAAACAGGTGAGAGCTGTCAGATCATTCTAACTGTATCCAGGTTATACACACTGGCAAACTGCACATCGAGTTTAAAGTCTTTGCTCCAGACCACACTGTTTTTTGGAGCGGCATTAACCCAGGACAGCCGTACTCCGTGATCCTCCATCGCTTAACACCCAAAGGTGCTGGAATGAGGGGAAGGCACTAGGAGCCCCTTTAAGGCTCGTTAATATTCAGAGCTTTGTTGCCATGTAAACCTAGCTATGTCCGTGGACTAGGAGAGCACACATCTCTGCTGTGCTTTGGGGGATGATCTGGAGAGGGTTACTGAGGGGGCGTTCGTTACCAGGCACTGAGAGAGGGACTCTTGGCTGCCTGTGGCTGCAGGCTCGGGCCGGGCTTCTTCCATGCCTGCAGCAGCTGGGAGCAGGACTGCCGCTATGATCTGGGGACAGGAGACTGGCGTCATGTCTGCAGCAGTGATCGAAACTGACTTTACAAAAACCAGGTATCCAAAAGGAACAATTCTTTACAACGGAGAGCAAAAAGAAAGCATACAGGGCACTTTATTGTATGCCTGCAACTATTACCTTGGTTCCACCCTCAGGGCAGGGCTCGGTCACATCGCCTGTGAGCTCAGCAGTGCCACCTGGCACTGCAATCTGCTCCTCACCCGTGAGAGCATCCTGGGGAAGCGAGTATGGGAAAGACAAAGGTCACAGGCAATGCCGACACACCTCACTGGAACCTCCCACTGCGTGGCTTCTGTAGCAGTTTATTTAGCATCACAAGCCAGTGTACCCACTGTTTCTTCTTCAAATACTCCATCTAAACACAGGCAAACTCATGACCCCAAAATTCAATGTTTGACAGCAGTTAATGTGTGTTTTTTGGGAGAATGAATGAATACTTGGTGTTTTTAACACAGTACATGTGAAATTCTACTTTCTCCTTACACAAATCCCAAAAATGACAACTTTATGGTGCCCCCTGCAGGACTTAAACAAGAATAACAATTTGGCACATACTGTACACAAAAAAAAAAACAAATCAGAAAAAGGAAAAATTATCCAACAGAAAAAAAAGCATGAAAAATAAATCATAAATCAAATAAATCAAAAGAATATACAGAAACAGGAAGAGACAGTTTTGGTGTGGACAAAAATAGAAAAGGTAAATAATAAAGACACAAAATAAAGAGGGGAATTGCTAGAGGGGAGGCCAGCATTCCTGTTCCTGTTTACCCCTGGAATGGACAGGAAGGTCTGCACAGTGTGGAAAACCCACACGTTCACCTGGGACCGACAACAGACATCAGTTACTGTGCTGTATCCTGCACATGATGAGCACAAAACTCATAAATCATCAAGAGAGACTGATGGAAAGTTCAGGCTCACTCAGACTTACGAGGTCTGCTCAGTCTGTCTCAGATAAGGCTGATTTGTTATTTCAAACCTGCTTTGTGTATTTCATAAAAATAAAGAGAAGAGAAAAATGTCACTAAAGTGTCATTACGTCACCACCAGGCAAACCCCGTCCCTCAACAGGGTCACTTGCCAATACGCTGCCAGTCAGCCAATCCCAGCTCAGACTGTTTCATCTCCCCACACCGGCTAGCAGATTTTGTGGCCAAACCTGGGCCGTGGCCATCGTTAAGGGCATTTTAATAAAGAAGGTATGGGGAGGTACCTCATATATGCTGACCCTCTCAGCATTCCAGTGCATCCTCTGCTCAGGGCTTGACTCCTCCACGACCCGGAGTGACGCCCCGCTTTTCATCAGCGCCTCCTCCAGGTGCACAATGTGGATCTGACCCTCCTCTATTTCACTCTCCTGAAAGGCAGAAATGAGGATTAACTGTGGTGAGGACAAACCTCCCAACTACCAGGCCTCAGGAGAAGGCAATCGCTGCAGGTGACCCTGAAGAAACTCCTCACCTCGGATTCCACCAAAACAGGGCCCTGAGCTGGCACTGCTGGGCTGGTCGCTGCCACTGGCTCATCCTGCTCTGCTGCTGCTACGCTGACAGCCGCCTGAAGAGAGCAGCAACACAAGTGCGATGGCTGATCCGACACGTCTCTTCGTTCACCACCAGCCCACATACTGTGGCCGGATGATGTCATCCCCTCACTGTGTTCAAGGCCAGAGCACATTCCAGCCCAGAGTCCTCCCACAGTCCGGCAGCACGACCTTCACCGGGCTGGAGACAAAGCCACGGGCCCTCCCTAGAACTTTAGCCACACGGCAACTTGAAAGCACCGGGGCGGGGGGGGAAGGATGAGGGGAAGCGTGCTGCTCCCACCATAATAAAGCGGGGGGGAGATCGCAACGAATGATCAAAGCGCAGGACGCTTTTGCTATAATTAAAATCACAGAACCCCTCGGATGGACTCAGGGAACCGCTCGGAGAAGACAGCCCAGTGGTTCAGGGTGGGGACGCGGTTCTGCCCGCAATTTAGGAGATTTAAATCTGCTTATGAGTATCGCCTGGCTGGACCTTATCTCAAAAGAGCCCAACCAGCAAGCCCAGCAGACAGTCTCCTTAGCCCAGGCTGGGACTGGGGGTCTCAGCCATTGACAGGAGCCTTTGATGATGTTCCCAAGGACACTGCCTGCATCGTACCTCCAGACACAAGCCAACATGAGTTAGATCCTCCTGCTTTCCACAAGTGGCCACTCCTCTAATAGAGGCTCTAATAAAGGCTCAAGAGCTTTAATTGGACTGAACTGACAGAGAAAGCAGAAACCTCACGTTCCTCCCATTACAAAACAACAAAACATCACTTTTGTTTTTTTCTGTAAATGAGCACAAAGGTTCCAGCTGCCTGGACTCTGCTAGAGCGCCCCTGCTGTAGTTAGTAATCAGCCTTTACACACAATGTAGGTGTGTTTAGCAGGCATCTTTAGCAATAAGCACTGAGATTTACCTGCAGAGTGGCGCTCCGCTCACTGAGCTCCTGCTCAAGACCTTGTATCTGCAGTTGGAGCTGTTTCGCCGTTTGGAAGACGCTCAGGGTCTCACTGGCCCCTTCCGGAAGACGCAGATTCCCTTTGCACATCTCTATGTCAGTGATGGTCCTCCTCATTGCCTGGAGTGTGTCCTGAGCCACCTGCTGTGACATCACGGGCCACACACAGCCACACACGCATTGCCCGTTAATATGACTCTTTTCATGCAGGGGAGGCTACCACCATCTAAAGAACAGAATCCAACTGACTTGTTGTGCCCTAAGCTGGTCCTCTGGATTGAGGGTGGCCACACTGTCAATGGAGAAGGCAGACCTGACCTCATCCATGGTTTTTTCCATCATCTTCATCTTCGTCTCCATGGCATCCACCTCCTAATAAGCGTGAAACCAAGAAAACTCCGCAGTGAAACAGACCACCTCCATGGATAAGAAGTGAATTTCTGGACATTCCCTGACGGACTCACTGTTGCGGCACGATCAAGCTCAGATTGTGGACCCACAATGCTTTGCTGCATGGCGGCGACCCTCTGGTCAGCCTGGGTAAGCTGCTCTTCCAGAGCAGCCGTGTCACACACTGCAGAGATCTCCTGCAGCACCAGCATGAAGGCCTGAAGAGTCCTTCTCACCTGTTCTGAGTCGTTCAGGATGCTCTGTTCAGATCAGGAACACAGAACTCAGACCTGCTAATGTCTGTCCATATGGGCCAAATCTTTAATTTTCCTGAACCTGTACTAGACAACTGGACCACACAAGCTCTGTCCAACTAAACTGCACCACACTCATCTAGACAGCCAAACGAATAACGTACATAATCATGTGTTTGCATACATACAATACATACAGCATAATAAGTCAAATACTTATCATGATGAGGTCAGCTCTATGGGAAGCTAAGTGATGGGATGCAAGTATCAGACTGACCTGCAGGGCGGAAGCATGGCTGTTGAGGCACTTAGCTGTGATGTAGACAGATGGCGCTTCCAGCCAGGACTGAGCCTCAATCAGCCAGCAGTTGGAGCTCCTGATCATCTCTTCATGTTCCTTCAGAGAAGTGTGGACCTACAGGACAACAGGGCAGATGACATCATAACTGTTCATGCACATGCATGCACCGTTCACTTCATATTTCAGATACAATTCATTTAGTAGCTTATGTTCCAGAACAAACTTACCAGAACTGCCATAAAAGTCCAATCTCAATAGGAAAGGAATGCTGAAGACAGCCTGGGCCAAGTGTCCAGTGATGCAAGGCATGCTGAGAAACGTAGGCTCACTCACCTTGCCCAGGAAGCTGGTCCTCTGTTCAGCCTGTTTAGCAAAACGCTGGTGGAGCTGCTGTATCTCCATCAGCTTCTCCATCAGCAGCTGGCCCTCCTCAGGCTGCTCCTCCAACAGATCCTGCACCTCCACCTCCAGTGCCACCATGCAGGAGTGCCAGAGATCCAGCTCGTCCCATACACGCTTCATGCACACAGCACATACACAAATACAAGCAGATGCACAAGTGCACTGTTTACAGGTATCTGGCTCACAGTAAGCACTCATAAACAACTAAAAAGGCATATGTTCACTCAACTGATGACCATATTATTTCATTTTCATTTAAATTTATATTTTAAGGAGGCTTGATGACATTAGATTAAATATAGCAGGCAGTGAGATCTTTGATCCCTACATACCTTCAGCATACTCTCAGCCTCTGATGCTGTGGAGCTCTGCTGCTCCAGTATGGCCAGCACTGACTGCAAACCCTCCCGGATCTCAGCCTCCCTGTCAGCCAGCCTGCGGAGGGGACTGTTCTTCTCTACTACCTCTCCCACCTGTGGCAGACCAGAGGGGTTCAAGCCAGAACAGAATATAATAGTTGATAAGCCTGGTCTTGCATCGTCCATATCACCTTCTGCTCCACCTCTTGCAGGGAGCGCGTGGCCTCCTGTAGCTGTGCTTCGATCTCCGTAGGAACCAAGGTGTACATTTCCGAGTACTTCATCTGCAGGCCATCCATGATGCCCTGCAGCAAGGCCTTCTGGGAGCCCAGATTGGCCTGGATGTCCTGACGGAGCAACGTGGTCATGAGAAAGTTACAGTGTGTCACCACTCTCATGGAGACAGCAAAAACACACACACACAGGCACACGTACGTGCATCAGGACATACACGCGCTCGCTTGTAAAAACAAGGAGCTATTTAGCACCTTCCCATCAATCTCAAAACCACATGAAAATGAATGGCTTACCAAGTAAACACAGGTAAACCCTTCCAAAGCTGCGTTCTGACTCGCGATCTCTCTCTGTTAGAGGGAAGGCAGAGCTCCAAAGCACACAAGCAATCATGGACACAGCCTTTCAGAGGCCAGTCTGCTCACCCCCAGGCTACGAGAGAAGAGCTAACGAGTCCCTTTCTCCTGATCATCATCCAGACCGAGACTGGAAACCAGAAACTCAAGTACAAAGCACACGGGACCCGTGTACGGGGTGGGACATCACAGCCCCCCAGCCCTGTCCTTTATAAGAGACGATACAGTTGGGTACAAAAAGGGCTTCTGGGGGAAGGGGGTAGTATCATGGGATGGGGACCCTGGAGTATCCATTTACATCACAGCACACAAAGGAGGCGCTGCAGGGCCTTTCAGGGAGGACCACCCCCCCTCCACCATTCTTTCAGGGAATGAAAAGGTGATGGGAGATTCTGGACAGGAGTCAGCACTTTGGATTCAGTAACACATCTCTCATCCTTAGGGCAGAACAATGCGAGAGAGTGTGTGTGTGTGTGTGTGTGTCAGGGGGTGGGGGCAGCTTGGGAGAAACCGTCACTCGTCCTCCATTCGGTCATGAAACATGAAGCTGGCAGATTCACGAAGCACAGTGACACTGAAGACTCCTGGAAAGGCCTGCATAGATTCCTGCACACCCCCACCCAGACACACACACACATCTTATTTACCAAAGTAGGTTAAAAGCACAAAGAACAGGAGGATGGTGAGTGTTTTCCCGAGAGCCGATTCACGGTGAATTCTGGACAGAGATTATCCTTACTGGTTACAGGGAGCACAAACGCCGCTTTGTGTATGAAGGGGCGATGTGCCTCGGACCTCATTAAAATGGCATGTTAATTGGTTTAAAAATTGGCAAGTTACACATTTTTTTTGTCCTAAAACAATGCAAATATTCTGTTAAAACACAACAGGGCTCTCGATGGCAAACTCCAAAGTGTACTGTGGTGAAAGCAAAACATGCAGTGATAGCGGCAACAGGGTACAAGCAGTATTTACACAACACGACACGGAGCACTCGTGTTCCAGGACCATGATCCACTCACACAAAACAGGACAAAGGCTGAAGCTGTGCTCAGTGTTTCCTGCTTTACAAACAAACACTGCCTGGTTCTAGAAGGCATATGCCTCCTTCCCTCAACAGACAGAAGCAGTGCTTCTCGTTCACACAGACAAACACAAAACCAGACACGTGCACCGAACTGACAAACATTGGAGAGTCATGTGGATGTATTGGTGTTCAATGCCTCCACATAAAAGTGACCCAACGATTACTATGATAGGGTAGGGTCAAAGTTCACACACCTGCAGCTCCTGGGAGTTATGAGTGTGCTCCTGCACGGAGAGGAGGGACGAGGTCCTCAGCAACCATTCCTGAATGCCCTGGATCTCCTCTTTCACTCGCTCTCGCTCCTGTACCTCCATCTGTGCAGCCCGACGGTCCAGCATGCCTCTCTCTTTCAGGCTGTGGATTTGAGGAGGTCAGGGGGTCACAGATTGGAAACACACATCTGGCAGTGACTGCAAAGCTGTCTGTGTGGACTTTGCAGGTTAGACCAATGTGTCCCACGGAGGAGAGCGCTGTTAGATCTGTGCTGGTGCAGGGTACGTGACCGCAGTGCTGTCCTATGCTGGCTGTCCCTGACCAGCAAGGCTCTGCAGGAGTCTGACACACGGGTGTCCAGACTGTGATGGCCCAGATTCCAAAGACAGCCCACTTCTACCAGGCAGGAGACGGACAGCTGGGAAATGAAGTTTCTGAGGCCAAATATTGCCTTGTGCAAGTAATGCAGACACACACTACATGACAGGTTTCTACAGGTATTACATGTAATCTACAGAACTTAAACATAGCCATAACCCAAAGAATCTCCTTGCCTGGTATAAGAGATCCATAGAGAGAGCAAATTAACCATAAATCAACCTTAGATTACAAGTTAGTACTATTACAAATGAATTGCCAGCAAGATCTGAATTTGAGTACAGGCAGTCCCTCGATTCCGAACATCCGACTAAACCACAAAATGTGCAAATCCCTCTTACTCTTTGTATTGGTCCTGCATCATTTGCAGCTTCTGGCAGAGGACGATGGGCGGAGTCTGTTCCTGGTGGGCGGGGACTCCCAGGAGACGTGCTACCTGCAGTTCCAGGGCGGTCAGGGCCCGGTGCTCGCAGTCCAGCCTTTCCAGGTACTGCTCCACGTGTGCCAGCAGCTCCTGCGGCTCCTCTGGGGAGGCCGCCTGGCCACGTTTGTCTGGTAGCTCATGACACAACTGGTCCAGCACAGTGACAGCCCTGTCCACCTGATCCACACACAGCAAACGTCAGTGACAGAACATTTGACTGAAAAATGCAGTGTCGCTCACATGCACGGACACAGACATCATCTGTATATAGGGCTGTAGGACAGCAACCTGGGAATCACCACAACAGCCACTGCTCTTAACCCGGAAATATGACAGGAACACAAGCAAGGCTGGGGCAGAACTTATGGGCATTTTTCAGCCAGAAATTACACGATCACATAATGGGATCTGGCCGTCTACTCTCAGGATTTGCCTTCAAAAGAGAGCTCATTCACCCAGTCAGTCCCCATGTATGGGGGGGATGTGTTGGCCTCCCCCTTTTCAGACACTGCCAAGTGGGAGAACATAGTAATCAACCAGAAGGCAGCATTTAAAATGTACATGACAAAAAACACGGGAAACCTCGAGTGCAGATGGAACTGTGTAACAGCATAAATTACAGTTTAACAGTGTTAATCCTGTCATACGTTCACCCCCGTTATTACAGTTTGTGGTCGACTTAAGAAGGTGACTGCTAAACAAAGCCGCAGTTGAACGTATGTGTATGTTGGCGTTCGATCAAGTCAGGTGACTCACGCTCTGGTCGACGTTCCTCCACTCTAAGGCTCGTTGCTCTGAACGTGCGCGGAGGTTATGGGTGGAACGCTGCAGTCGCACCCACCGCCTCCAGGTGGCGTTAATGAGCTCTGCTCTGGTTCTACTGCACCCCTGATGTGGACACCACTCCCGCAGCTCTGCTAACCTCCCCTGCAGTGAGTCCACGTCCTGCACCAGCACCTTTACAGGGAAGCAGGACGGGCAAAGAGACTGTTACAAAATATTTTCAAAATACCAGATGCATTAATACGCAAGAATTTTGACCATTTATTCTGATGGACACATTACGATCCTGGGAGTCAAGCCAGTGACTTCCCCAAAGCCTATTTGGAATGATTTGTTGCAGTATGTTAAAAAGAAATACAATATAATGATAACGCTCATATTTGTACTGTGTGCAAATATGAACAACATTAAATTTACAAGCTAATAATAGCAATGGAAGAATAAAACTTAGTTTGGCTTAAGCATGGGGAAGTTCAGGACACAAACAGTGGATCAAATCTCAATTAGCCGCAAAGACTCGCCAAGGTCTCCAACATTAGTGGATTTCCTGTTGTTTTCATAGCAGTATCCCCAAGACTGGCTTTCTCAAAGCCTCTTGCTGAGCACCTTCTCTGCAACGTCCCACAGACTGGTGCCATGTCAACACACACCAGTGACTCTGTGCATGTCTGTAACTTCTTCCACAGACATGCTGGATACGACACTTGATTAATTTCCTGACGGAAAGTTCAGCTATGAAAGGGTTTCAGAAGATGAATTCACGTTCAAAATATTTGGGGCCATGTGTTTTCTAAGCGGCCTTTTGTAGCCCCAAGTTGTTGTTTGACAAAAAAATGGCATGATGGAATCTCCTCTTAGTTATGAACAATAATACCTGTAATTCAACCCCATTAGAACAAGGAACTAATTTTGCAAGAGCCACTGATTTTTAGCCATCTAGGCCACTCATTCACTCAGTGTTTCAGATGATAATTAAAACATTCTGAAAACTGTTGGACATCAGCTCTCAGGCAGTGGAGCTGCCAAACCCAAGAAATATGACTGAACGAAGACACCCAGTGGATAGTTTTTGAAACTGCAGTTAAAACAGTAATGGGTGTGATTTCACTAATATATTAAAACAGAGCAGGCAGTAGCAAACTGGATCATTTTACAAACCCGCAATTTTTCTTGCTGATCCAAACACTCCTTTAGTGAGGTCACTTTGTCCGAGATGCACTCTGAAAGCCTGGATTCTGAGGTCGTCAGCTGCTGCAGTGTCTCTTCGTGCTTCAACTGAAAGACACCCTGCTTTTCTGTACATCTGGAGGTGGCAAAGCAAACAGCTTGTCATCACTAGCTCTAAAGACAGCTGCATCCCTCATATTTTTTCCCAGCCTTACCTCTCTAAGGCCTCCAGATGAAGCTGACCTTGGGCCAGGATCACAGAGAGCCATACCAGCAACTGACTCAGGACCCTGTGATGGAGCTGCTCGGCCTGGTCGTGGAAGAGCGAAGCCTGCTGAGGGGCCAGCGCCTGCAACTGCTCCACGTGGCCTTGGAATTCCTCATTCAAGCTGACCAGAGCATTCCGGACAATATGAAGCACATCCCTGCAGGGCCCGATCCGGCAGAGGCCAGGGAGGACGACACGCTCGGCATCTTGGAGAAGCCCAATAAGACCTCTGTAGGTGGCACTGCAGTTCCTCAGTGCTTCCCGGGCGCGTGACAAGCTCTCCTGGAAAAGCCAAACACTGGATTCACTGGATCCATTTTCTGTACCTGCTTGTCCTATTCAGGGTCGGGGGAGTCTGGAGCCTATTTCAGAGGCGATGGGCGCAAGGTAGGGAGCACACTGGATGGGACGACAACCCATCGAAGGGCACACATACATACACATCTACAGGCAATTGGGTAACTTAACATGTTTTTGGACTGTGGGGGAAAACCAGAATACCCAGAGGAAACCCCATGACAACACAAAGAGAACATGCAGACTCCTCATACATAGAGGCATGGCAGAGACTCAAACAACTGGCCCAGAGGCGTGAGGCAACAGTGCTAACCACTGCACCACCAAGACGCCCCCACTGGATTCTACTACAGGAGCAATCTATAATACTGAGCTGAAACTCCCTTCTAATAATACAAGTACAACAGAACAGCTCAAGACAGATCTGTGTCTCAGATTCTCATGAAGTACCCTACCATTCGCAGGTGACAGGCCTTCAAAGTCTTCTCTTTCAGCAGCTCCACATCACCAACAGTCTGCCATGGTCCCTTCTGTCCTGCCTCACTCTTGTGCTCCAGGGCGTCTAGCATTAGAATCCTGGCCTCTACATTTTTCTGGAGGGCCAAGCACTTTTTCAGCTCTCGGGTGACGGCTTCCTCACTGGGGCTCACTAGGAAGGACTGCTGCATGTCCTTTTCAGCCTGCTCTAGGAAGCTCAGCAGGGCCTTGCGTTCTGTAGGGTAGTGGAGTGCCTTAAGTAGTTCCCACTCCAGTATCCTGATGTTGTTATGGACAGTCATTTCCCAGGTGGAGAAGATCTCCAAAGCCTCCTGAATCTTCTGCCTCTCCAAGCTGAACTGGGATGGATATAGGTCTGGTGAGATCTCCTGTAGGTGGTCCATGGCTTCCTGACACAGCCTCTTCATCAGTGGGAACTGGATAAGGAGAGCCAGACCAGCAATATACTGGTCCTCCTGATTGACGTTTTGGTCCTTCATCTGTAGGACCTGTGCTTCCACGCTTTCTTTCAAGCCATCAATCTGCTGCCTGTAGCATAAGAACTTCTCGTGTTCAGAAGACTTCGCACACATTTTGTCAATTTTGTTCTGCAATTCAACAATGATGCACAGCAACTCTTTTCTATTTTCATCAGAGCAGTTGTGTAGTTGATCCACCTGGCACCTCAGCTCTAGAATCATGTGTTTAAAGGGCTGCAAGTACATGAGTGAGTCTTTAGTTATGGGAAGGCCACATTTCTTTAAGTCTGATGATATCTGCCTAAGCTTTTTTTCAATTGAGGTCCAGTTCTTCTGTGAGGAGTCCTTTTCTTTCAGCAACTCCTCCAGCTCCAGGCGGTTTGTTCTCTCACGGCTGATAATAGCCTTAATCTCCTCCTGGATACCTGTGAGTTTGGCATTCAGACGGCAATTTTCATCGATGCTAAGCTCTGAGGAGATGTCCTTGCTCTTCATTATCAGGGCCTCTGTGACTGCTGCCTGCCTATCAGCCTCTTGGAGAGTATCTTGGAGCTGCCAAAGTCTATGATCCAAGTCAACTGTCCTGCTGTCACCAGGGACTTCCATAATAGCCTCTGCCCTGATATGGGCCACCACCCAGGCATCTACGTCTGTAATTTGAACAGACATTTTTTCTCTCACCTGCAAGCCAGATTCCACCATCTGCAAGGTTCGGGCTAGCTTTTCCGAAGTCGACTGAGACAGATCCTCCAGGAATTTGAGCGAAGACAGCACCACAGGAATGTCAGCTTCCTGCAGTTTGGCCGTCAGCTCCTTCACTTCCTCCACCAGACATTCCAACTGAGCTTGCTTAGCTGCAAAGTCTGCCTGAAGCTTCTTTAAAGCTTTGATTTGCCGATGGACCTCTTGTGGGAGAAGGGCCACCTTCTTCTCAGCTTCAGTGTTTTTTTCTATTTGCTTCACTGCAGTGAATGCCTCTTCCATCACTTTCATGATTTTAACAATTGTGGCATCACAGCTACATGGCATTTGTGCAGAGAGCTGGTCTCGCACATGGTCCAGCTCCTTCTTCACACCCTGGAGGGCCAGAGAAATATTCCTCTTCTCTGTTTCACCTGGAGAGGCCTGTTCAAGAGCTTCAGCCGTGTGCTGCAAGTGCAGATACCACTGGCTGGCAGCTGCCAAGTCTGCGCCCACTATCAATAGCTCCTCAGCTCTCTTGCCGTTCCACTGTACAGGAGTAGCCTGAGAAGGGCCCAGGATCTTCTCTAGCGCCTCAATCTGATGGTGAAGGTCCTGGGTCTCCAAGAGAAAACTGCTGACCTCCTGGTTGAGGACAGAGAGGCGGTACAGAGATGTCTCTGCAGCTCTCCTCAGGATCCTCCACTCCTCTTGCAGCCCATCCAGCTGGGATTGAATTACTGATCGATCTGGCGGGCCCAGATAAGGCCACATTTGGGCATGGATCTGCAGTAGTTCTCCCAGCACGGACCTCTCCTGCTCCATGTTTTGCAAAAAAGCCTTTAGCTCCGCTGCTCTTTGTGGGCTGCTCTCCATGGGCATTCTGAACAATAGAAACATGATTAAATACAAATAAAAGGCTCAGTGGGCTACTCTAAACATCTCTTGTAGGATGTAGGCTTAATATCTGAACAAAATTTTGACCCCAAGTTAAAAATCTACGTCAGGAAAAAAAAAAGCATACTGTAAGATACCAACACTACCTCGAAAGATTTAAAAATAATAGCAAAGACATTTTGAAAACAAATTTAAGGTTTACAGGTTTTCAGATAATGCAACAAGAGGCCTTGACTCACAATGTCAAGGCTTCAAACTCTGTCGCCAGTCTCTCCAGTGTGGCCCTGGCAGCCTGGGCCAGCTTCTGAAGCTGCGTGGAGAGCTGCAGCTGGCGGTCCTTGGTGCAAACGGCAGCCTCGGCATCCCATAAGGCTTCGGTCCACTGTGTCTCAGCGAATCGCATGGCCTCTGTGCCTTCACCCTCAGACACTGCCTGGAGGTTTAAGGAGGCCAGCTGCTCCTTTGCAGACACCCTGCAAGCCTGCAGTGTCAAATCAAAAGTATCACAAGCATACAGGCAATACTTCCATGACATCTTTAACACTAGAACCACCACGAAACTCCTTTAACCGCCAAGCAAGACATGCGTATGCAGCCCTTTGAGCTTTGAGCTAATGTATCATCAGCGTTAATAACAGCAGCGAATCCAACACCCGAAACGAAAACTCCGTAATGTTCCTAACAGTGCCTGCTCGGCCATGAAATCATAAAGGTGAAAAGTCTTTGTTGGATATATAGATGTAATATATTGGTGATTTCACGTCTGTCAAAGTTTCCTCAATGTTACAAATTAAGTCACTTGAAACAATTTGAAAAAGTACGTTATTAATTGAAATTAATTGTAAAATGCACTTTTCGGCTGAAGCGGCTTGCCATTCCATTTGCATTGTTGCTCCAACATATATAAAATTAATAAATAGAAAACATTTTCCATGTCACTTTTGATATCATTTTGAAATAATAAGCTTGCCCATACCCGATTTAAAGTGATTAATTCTTTTGGTATTTATGTTAAAGCAGGGCATTTATTTTATTACCAGTGTGGGATTAAAATCAGTTTCATAAGATTAATCTATGAAAACCAATACTTGAATCAACGAGCAAAACAACATATGATATAAACACCACTGCATGGTTTTACAGCTTTGTTTGGGTGTCAGTAACTGCAGCTGCGAGGATTAATGACTGTCATGGTTTCATGATGGGTGAATGGTATAATAATGCAATGGCCCATTAGCAAAGACAAAAAAGGTGTGATATGCCAAAGTACGACGCTGCTGGCGGTTACAGGTCGTCGAAAATACGCTGGCAGTTCCTAGTGTTAGCACAAAATCAAAATTTCTGTCAAAATTAGACTGGTGACAAAGAAGCGGCACCAATGGACAGAGGCTCACTCATTGGTTTGCGCAGCTTCCAATGGGAAGCTCTCACCTCAGCCTGCTCCACCTGCTGGGCCATGGCAGCAGCATCAACCTCAGCAGGCCGATTCTGACAGCTCAGGGCTGTGAAGACCACCCTGCTCAGTCGGGCCTCCAGGTCCCTGTCCGAGATATCCAGGGTGTCTGCACCTGTCCCTAGTGGCTCCCCCTACGACATCCCAAGGGAATCCAATCACAACTTCAGTCATGTTTCATGACAAGGCCACATTAAAATAAAACTTCCTGGAGAATCACCTGGCCAATGAGAATATTACATGCGTTTAAAAATTTTCCTCCAATCAGATTTGTCCCCCTTATATTGTTATGCTCTCTCATTCATTTAGCTAGTGACATCCTGAAGCAACACGTACTTGTCTCAAGAAAACTGCAGCATTTCTGGCCTTTTAATGGACATCCGAAGTGTGCCCACAATATCGTTTAAATACGTAGCAGACATTTTTTAACTTGAGACTTCAATTCTAACTTGAGAGCTCCATTCTAACTCGTCTCTAAAACACACCTACTCACCCAGATGAAACAATGGTTCGGTCCCGTCTCTACCAGCTGCTCGACCTTTACAAAGATCTTGTGCATGGCAGACTCAATGCAGGGTTCTTGTGGAAGACCTTCTGTGCTGAGCCCCTCCCTGGCTTCAGCAGGGATCTCATCGCCTGCCTTCAGGCTTTTGTTAGGCTGCAGTAGGTATATAAACACTCAGTCTCAATTCAAGTCCCAGTTCTAACAGGGATTGAAAATATCCACCAAGTGGTGCTGTGATCTTCAACTAGCAATATACAAATAGCCTGAACAAGAAAACTTCTTTCACATCAGAAAGGAAATGCTTTGTTTTAATAAAAGATACTGAGACTTTGTAAGTTATTTTCAAACGTTCTCTGGCAGCATGAGGTCCAAGCAGGAAAAATAATACACCTCAAAATAATCAAATCAAACAGACACTAATTCTAATATTGATTGAGATTCAACAAATTTCAGTTGACTAGCTATATACCACAGACCATGGTCTGTCATACTTATTGATGGATACCATATTCTTTCTTTTGGAAAAAACAGTTTCGCTGAAAAAGCTAATCAGGCAGACAGAACATGTCGTAAACTGAGAGAAGTGACCTTCAAGCAAAAATACAAGTATAAAAATGTACTCAGTAACAAAGGTTTCACTTCTTCTAACAAGAACACTAGACTGAGCTGTATTACCTGTTGCATTTTAGGTATTTCCGTTTTCCCATTCACCATAGACTCCCCCTGGACCTTCTGCTCTTTTGATCGTCGCCTAGGAGGAGCTACAGGCCCCTGAGCCTGGACAAATACAGCTTCCAGTCCATGAGCCAGCTCATTTCCAGCCTCTGTGATGCTCTCTGCCACAGAATCGTCCACACGTGGCTCCTGTATAGATTCAGGGATTCTGTCCTTCCGTGTTTCAATAAGTGGTGACACTCCATCTGCAGTAGGCGGTTCCTCAGTTGGCTGTTCATTATTCTTGAAGTTCCTGTCACTCTGAACCTTACTTTTGCACTGTTTTTCATCCTCTTGGTCCAAACTTTCCACAATCTTCAAATGTTGTGCATCGGCTAATGTACAAACCTCCTTTAGAGATTCATTTAATTCCAAAGCAATAATCATCTGCTCCGTTACCTGAGGTTCAGTGTCACTGTGGAGCAGCATTTCAACTTCCTGTCTCTCTGTGGGTGGGATTGGTGAAGCTGTAGCCAATATCTTTTGATCAAGCTCTTGCTCAAATGGTGAAATCGAGATTTGCTCACCAACTGTGGCCTCCCCTTGCAATGTGCTAACATCTAGCAATATTTTCTGGCGAAGGGCAGTGCTGGATTGTGTATCCTCTCTGACACTGTCCATACTGTGGGAAGGCTGCATAGATATATCAGGAACAATAGGTTGCTCCTTGGTAGTGTCTGTGGCTGCCATGTCAGTTTTCACTGTCCCAGAGGCAGCAATGTGCACATTCTCAGTGTTTACTGCCTGCCATGTGTCTGTTGTTTGAACATGTAGCATCTCAGTATCCAGAACAAGCCCAGTCATCTTATCTGACTGAGCAGCCTGAATATTCTTCTCATCTACTGACAAAGAACCATGATCGAGAGCAGTAGCATGCTCTGTCTGTCCATCAATGACCATACTCACTTCAGGACTGGAAGTATAAGTGTCTTGGCTCATCTGCTTTGCAGTGCTACACTCCATTATTACAATGCCCCGATCATCAAAACTCAATATGTTCTCTGTCCTCTCCTGGGTAATTAACTCCAGGGTTTGAGCATCTGTTATTGTGACAGTAGCATTGGACTGCTGGCTAGCAGTTGTACTGACTGCTGTGGGACCTTTATGCTGGACCTTGATGCGTGGAGGTGGCATGGGCTGCGTGTCTGCAGCGCTCATCTTGCAGGGATGTGGCTCGACCTGCTTGCCCTCATGTGAGGACACCTCAGTTTCTTGCAAGGAAGGCAAGGTAAAGAGGAACCTTGGGAGGTCCATCGTAGCATCAGTGGTAGAGCCCTCGGGGGACACAGTATTGGCATCCTCACCAGCAAGGCTAACCTACAACCACCACATAAATAAGAGACAAGCTCAGTCCACATGGATCCACTTTATCAGGGTGTGGTATATCTAGAGTGGAACAGCACTCCAGCTCCATCAGTACGGGTCCTATGAATGGCTGTAATGTGTGTACATTTTCAAAAGTATGTGTGTACATTATACCAAGCAGATCTCTTTATCTTGCATTATGGGTTACCTGTGTCAAAGTTGTGCTTTTCTGTTCTTCCGATTTCTCTTTCTTTGCAAGATCCTAGTGGGCAAGAAAGCCACTTGAATAAGATACATAAATTATGTGAAAATGTCACCAGCTACTACTTAGAAATAGTTTATAAGTAGCCTGACAAAATAATACTGTTCATGACAAACCATACAAGCATTTAGTAATAATGTAATAATACCTTCTATGGTTAGCAAGCCAGCACCACCTGAAGATCCCTCCACCATGCAAAAATAAGTCGAATTCTAGACATCTCTTATGTGTGGCTCCTCAATGATGTAATGAGCTACCCATTCACAACCAGTCCCAACAGAGTCCCATTTAACCTTCAAGAAACACCACAAAACCCCTGCTCCTCTGAAAAACCTCAACTAGCTCATCCAACACCTAACCTGGGGTGAGTTTCCTGAAGCCTTCTTAACGCTACGTCGTTCGTAAGTTCTATGTTAAAAGAACGAGTCTGAATAGCTCACACTATGTTAAAAGAATGAGTTTGAATAGCTCACACTATGTTAAAAGATAGAACTTACGAATGATGTAGCATTAAGGAAACTTCAGATAAAAACTCACCCCTAACCTTCTTTATCTGCTATCACTTGTCAATTCCAGATGATGCAAGTCTCAGAGGAACCTAGCTCTCATGCTTCTCTTGGCTAAAAGAGATCTTCTATTATGATCTTACAATGATTTTAATGGATTATACAGCTCTTGCTCCAATCCTAACTTGGACTAGTTACTGATCACTCAATGGAAACTCAACCCAACTGCACTTATGTCTAGGTTGGCTCCTTGATAGTTGTATGCCTATGATGTATTATCTGGCTTACTTGCATGTTACTTCACGCAAAAGTGCTAAATAGTTAAATGTAAATAACTCTCAGCACAAAGGAACATTTCTAGGGGTGCCTTAATTACACAATTAGATGGTTACAAATTACAAATAAAACTTGAGTGACATGATGTTGGCGAGCTGTGATTGTCAGCTGTTCACCTGAAGGCTCTGAGTCAGAGTGTGAACCTGAGCAGTGGCCTCCTTTAGGGCATCGTTCCCTGCCGTCTCCAGCCGGCCCGCCCTGTCTGTACCCAGCAGGTTCATCAGGAATGGGCTATGCGACAGTGCGCCCTGCAGGCTGTTCAACAGCTGTTCTCCGTCTATGAGAGTCGCCTGTCATGGACACGTCATTCACATGTTTGAATAGCTCACAACTGGATTTCTTGGCCTCCAGCCCTCATCTTCTGCTTAGACCTGTTCAGTACTTGTAACATCCCGACTATGACTAACCTTAGCAGATTGTCATACATTTTGATTTATTATTCATAACATTTACTTATAAACAATCTGTAAAAACATTATATTATGTAGTTGCTCTTCAGTTCGCTTTCCCATTGGCATGGCGTGCCCTTATATTTTTGATAAAATATCTAAAGACTAGTTATTTGACCACATACCATCCAACACCAGAGCACCGAGGCTGGCTCTGTGCCGTTACCTGGATGGAGAGTGCCGACTCAGTGGGCAGAATTGTGCTTGCGGACTGGACCCACTGCTCCAGAGCCTGGAGAGACTCCGTCAAACAGCGAGCCGACTCCTCTGAACAGTCAGCCTGCCTTTCTGTGAGCATGGATCTGAGCCTGTAGATAAAGAAAAGACGTTTCACAGAACAGCATCCGCACATGGACAGTCTGTTTACCAGCAAAGGCTCTCATCAGACTCCTTCTACCTGCTGTGCTCCAAAGCCAGGCCAGCCACAGTGGTGATCACATCCATGGGAAGCTCTCCCTCTGCACCCTCTGACCCCGCAGCTAGCTGCAGTCTATCCACTTGCCTTCCAAGCTCCTCCAGATGTCCTTCACAGTCCTATCAGAGATCACACAGCACTGAAAGAGGTTTCGCTGGACACGTTCTGCTGCGGCACAACTGCAGCCATTCCATGCTAATGGAAACTAAGAGCTCACATGCATCTTTCCTTCAATGCAGTAGGTCAATAAAATGACGAACAATGTATGTCGAATAAAACCTACGTGGCTGTAAAATATGGCTGACAGCTGACCCGCCTGCTCATTCTGCCTGTACCCATCAGAGGGGTTTCCCAACCCGAACTGTGTGTGCTGCCGCATCCACAACATACCTTCAGACACTGCCAGTGTTGTTGGACCTGGCTGAGATCTGCGAGCTGACCCCTATAAGCCAGATGCTCACTCTGCTCCTGCAGCGCCCTCTGCAGGCTGGAGGTCTCTCCTCTCAAGGCCTGGACTCTTGAGGCCAACTGCTCATCCAGCTCCCGCAACCGGACCTCACATTCCCATAGCCGCTCCTGCAGCGCCTCCACAGAGGAGGCTCGGAGCTCATGCAGGTGGCCCACCTCCGCAGCCAGGGTCATCTGCCCACTGGGGCTACAGCTGCCCCACAGGGAGTCTTTCACCACCTCCAGGTCTCTCAACTCCTTCTCCTCCCTGTCTGCAGTCTGCATCAAGGCCTAAGGGAGGAGAGGGGGGCAACACACACATCATTAACACTATTCACACTGCTTTCAGAGGTGTATAGCTCAGGTTCAGAAAGTAAAAACCCTGATCAGGGTTTTGTTTCAACCAACCAGTGGAGTTTAGAGTCACAGAGAACTAAAAAAAACATCTTGGTCTGCATATTTACTTTCTGGACCTGAACGATCTACCTCTGAATGCTTTACATGGTGCCTGGCAGAGTCATTCCTCCATACGTGCCTGTTCTTCCTGTGTGGGCATGTTTGCACATTTGCATGTGATGCAGAATGGCTCACCTTCAGTGTATTGACCATGCTCTGCAGGTCTTGTCTACTGTCAGACAGGGCACCAATTGCCGAGACCTGGTCATGGAGCCAGTCCTGTGCTGCGCTGTGCTGTTCCACGAGCTGGGCACATTCCCGCTCGACACGGATGCCCTCCTTCAGGTCCTGACACAGCCCCTGGGGATCAAGGACACAAAATCCTGCCAGTGATCACGCTAGAACTCCCTTCCAGTGATTGACGCGACTGTTTGTCCGGTCAGGTTTCAAGGTGCAGCTTTTGGGGGGATCTGGTTAAAAACCACTCACCTCAAGGTCTTTCACCAAAGGAGGAATAGAGTCAACAAGCTCAGCCCAGGAGGGGTCAGTCCAGCTAGGATCATGAGTGAGCTGAAAGAGTTCCATCCCCTGGGCCTGTAGGGCAGAAAGCGTGGGGGCCAGCGACATGGAGCCGTCCAGCAGGGACTGAGCCAGTTCTGCAGCCAAACGGCGATCCCCTAGCCCGGGCCAAGGGAACAAGCGGGGGACACCTGCAGTCAGCTTCTGGAGCTGCTCCAAGCGGGTCTGGGCCTGCTGCTTCTGGCACAGACAGGACAGTAGCCGTTCACTCACACCCTGCAAAAGGCTGACATGCCAGAGAAACAACACACAGTTAATTTTCTTCCCATGAGAGCGTACAGTCAGGACTTACGATGATGCACGTACCTATTCAGCTCCTCTGCAGACTGCATGACTGCTTTCCACTCCTGCTCTCCATCATGCAGAGTCTGCAGGACTTCAGTCCTCCTGCTCTCCTCCAGACCCTGTCGCTCTAACAGCTCCTGCCCACTGTTACTCAGCTCCTTCAGCCTGGCGTCTCCTTCGGCCCTCAGCCTGAGGAGACCCTAAGTAGGTAGGCCCATCAAGGAGTGGTCAGACAACCATGATATCAAGAACAATATCAAGTCAGTGCACAGTGAACAGTGCTCCCCCTTATGGTCACATTAAACAACACATGATCATGAGTAAGGAAAAAATAAAACTCTACGAGTAGGAAACTTACTCCATTTCTCTATTAAACAGAAGAAATGTGAAGCACTGATAAATACTTCATTAATCATTAATACGACCAGTGGCCTTGATTTAAGACTGAAGGACGCCTCACCTGTACTGTCTGCAGTCGCTCCTCAATCTCTGCCTGTTTGCCCTTACTGCCTCTGTCCAGAGCCTCCATTTGCTGCTGCAGGTCTCTGATCCAGGCCAAAGTTCCATCTGCCAGGTTCTGGAAGGCCTGCATCTCTATGGCCAGGGTTCTCTGTGCCTCTACTCGGCTGCGCAGTTCCTCTGCAGACTGCATGACTGCTTTCCACTCTTGTTCTGCATCATGCAGTATCTGCAGGACTTCAGTCCTATTGCTCTCCTCCAAGTCCTGCCGCTCTGACAGCCCACTGCTCCTCAGGTCCCGCAGCCTTGCATCTCCTTCAATCCTGAGACTCAAGAAATCCTGAGGAGGGAAACGGGAAAAAAAAACCCATATGTACTTGGGAAAACTGAAAGAGGAATGTTAACAGTTGAAGATACGTATGAGCAAGAAATGCCAAAGTCCTTTGACTAGCTGGTTCAGAAATTTGATTCACTGAGGTGTCAGTTCTTTAGCTACTTAAAATTGCAGCACTTATTAAAGCGAGCTTTTAGTGCAGGTCATCGCCACAGGCAGCAGAGTGGTTGTTTAAAATCTTAAATATTTATGGTAAAAGTCATGAAATATCTGTGCATTACTCTCTGCTGTTAGATCATTCACATAATAAAGCTACTGCAGCTCTTTGAGGGATTTTTAAACACATGTAGCAACGAGAGAACATTTTAAAAAATCTCTTAAGAATGTCTAGAAACCTTATGGTTAGACTTAGACTAAGATTCTTCATCGATTTTATTGGACACCTAGTAGATTATTTAAGGTTGAACTGAAGAATTCAGGTGATTGTAGGAGATGTCAAATTGTAAAGGAACCTTGATACGTCCCCTTTGGGCAGGCCCGATGGTTCATGATTACATACTGGAAATAACAGAAATTCATAATCTTTCAGTCATCAGCTTTATATTCTTGGGGGTCCTTCAGTTTTGGACCATTGTCCTGTTCCTACAGCTGAATGGGTTCACACTACTGTTAGGATAGGAAGACAAATTACTCTTAGGGGATGAAAATCAGCGGGTAATCATCCTCTCAGGAGAGGTTTCTTGAGTTGGCCAAAGTGGCTGAATTTCAAAAAATGTCATTTAACAAGTTGGGGAAAATAGATAACTATCATCAGTAATGGGGCAAGCATTTATCGTCTCTCAATAGGCCATAGGGTGATTTTATTTGTTTTATCTTTTTCAGTAGTGACACTGTGTTATATTATAATTTTACACTTTTTAATCTTTGTATTCTGTCTTCATGTGGTGCAAACTTACCCCACCCTAGTTTCTGTTTTTTCCCCTTATTGTTATGTTTCTGCTAATGACTGAAAACTCTAATAAAAAGTAAATCATAAAAAAAGATTAAACTGAAACAATATTCACTACATTTGTGACCTCGCCCACGTTTGGTATTTTTTGCCATAGTTTACACTCAAATGAATTCTGATAAATTCCTGGCTCACTCACCTGGACTCTCTGCAGTCGCTCCTCGATCTCTGCCTGGCTGCCCTTACTGCCTCTATCCAGAGCCTCCACTTGCTGCTGCAGGTCTCTGATCCAGGCCAAAGTTCCATCTGCCAGGGTCTGGAAGGCCTGGTTCTCTATGGCCAGGGTTCTCTGTGCCTCTACATGGCTGCGCAGTTCCTCTGCAGACTGCATGACTGCTTTCCACTCTTGTTCTGTATCATGCAAAATCTGCAAGATTTCAGTCCTCCTGCTCTCCTCCAAGTCCTGCCGCTCTGACAGCTCCTGCCCACTGCTCCTCAGGTCCCGTAGCCTTCCATCTCCTTCAATCCTGAGACTCAAGAAGTCCTGAAGAGGGAGGCCCATGGAGAGAATCATTTTTATAGCCCATCAGAAAAATGCGTATTCCTCACAAGTCCTATTCTGGTGCATCATCTT